AGATTTTGTAGCGACAAAGAGACTGAAAGGAAAAAGAAAAAGAGACAAAAAAAACTAAAAAGGATTTTGTTGTCAGATTCTGGTTGCAATGAATTTGGTTTAAGTTCAATCAAGCAGTTGACAACAATCATGTGTTTTCACACTGGAATTTTATTATAAAACAAATCAAAACTGAAAATCCAATCAATGTTTTAAAGGTGAAAATTTTTGGCTCACACAGGCAAATAATAAATAAATAAATACTTCATTAAATTATTTGGATCAGCAGTCACTGCTTCAGTTATTAAATTTCAATCAGTCAGCTCTCCATCCTTTCTCTGCTGTGTGTGTTACAGCTGGTGGTCTTAATATTTTTTTTCTTTCTGGTCAAGAAACAAAAACTCACCTTGTCGTCATTGAAAGATGTTGATTCTCGCATGTCAACACTTGTTGGATTATTTAATGCCGAATGTTATAGGTGGCACACAGTGAGGATCGAACTCATTACACAGTAGTAATGTTATGTTGGTTGATTTTACCACATGGCAATCCTTGTTGGTTTATTAAATGTTGAATTTTGTATGTGGCACCCAGTGAGGATCAAACACAACTTGGTAGTAATATTATGTTAGGTTGATTGATTTTGTGACATGACAATCATTGTTGATTTATTGATGTCGGATTGTGTATGAGACACTCAGTAGGGGGATCAAACACAATACTCAATAGTAATATTAAATTAGGTTGGTTGACTTATTGTTGGTTGGTTTATTTAATACTAAATTTTGTATATGGCATCTGGTGCAGATCAAACCCACTACTCAAGAGTAATGTTAACTTAGATTGGTAGATTTTATAACATTTCAACCCCTGTTGGGTTACTTAATGCCAAATGTTACATGTGACACATGGTGAGGATCAAACTCACTACTCTGTAGTAATGGTCAACCAGACTAGTTTCGTTAACGATTACCACACCTTGAGGCACCTCATTTTCTTTCTTTGTTTATCAATGAATAAATCAGAGGTGTAGAACATGCACATACAAAACCACGATAACAATTTTAAAATCATTTTATCCCTTTTCTGAGTATTAAAATGCCATGATTTTTACTTCTTTACTGAAAGTATATTAGTTTGGCATAAAGATATTTTTAATCATTTCACCCCAAGCAAGGCAATAAAGCTACTAGGATGTAAAGGGTTACTGAGTGCTAAAGAATATGAGACAAAAGCACTATTAGCAAAGGAGGACAATAAAAGAACAATTAAGACAAGATAACGATTGACATTGCATTTGAATTTTCAAGATCAAACTTCACTGGGCACCACCAGTAATAAAAATTAAATCAGTACATGGACATTTCCTGAGACCCCTTTCATGGTGTAGGAAATTATCTGTTCATTTAAATATCTTTTTGATAATTTCATGCTTTATTTCAACTAGTATCTTCATAATTGTTGTTTTAATTGCTATCTTCTAACTTGTCATTTCTAGCATTCCTTGTCCTCAAAAGCTCCTTGCTTTATTTTGACTATTATCATTATAATTGTTGTTTCAATCACTAACTGCCAATAATTGAAAACTTTCTTGTGTCGTCTAAAGTTCTGAGATATATATTGCCATTATTCCTTTCTTTAATTGAATTTGTATTACCTTTTAGTTGAGATGTATATCATATGCACAAATTACATTATAAGAAACCCATATTCATTCTGCCAATGAATTTTGGAATACTAAAAATACAGTTAAAGAGAAACAACTCTTGTTTTATTCAACTTTTTTTTTTTTTTTACTTAAATGCATGCTTTCTTTTACATCGTTGTTTGATATTGTACATCTTGTTAAATACATATTTTATGTGTAATGATATCTTTTGCTTATCATTTTTCACGTCATTCTTGTTCCCTAATCTAAAGTTAAATTAATGTGAAGTCCACCACAGATTCCCCTTGTTTCTCATTCAATAAAATGAATTATTTTACTTACAAGGTATTTATTTAATCGACTATATTGAATCAATTGCTACATCTACTGCTAAGAAAGTTAGTTCACTGTCGTGCCAGAATTTTTTTTTTCTGATCATAATTCATCTTGAATATTTATAAATTTACTATGCATTGAATATTGTTGCCATATCTCAAGATTTTTGACAAAATTAAAAGCAAGGTCTGTAATGAAACCTATCCTGAGCTAATATTTCAACTTGAGTCACTTTCTCAGCATGACATGACATCCTTCTTCTTTTCTGTAAATATTCTCATGGCAACTGTTCTAATGAACTTTTTTCTGCTAGTGCTTCAGCTACATGAGTTTAAGCGGGTACTAGATTGGCAACTCAGCCTCATTGTTTTGCTGTTGAACTAGCTAGATACAAACTCCGATTCTATTCTAACAGTCTCTCTTCTTACACTTCTAACCTGTGGAAAAATTTAAAAAATGCAACATAAATCGCCATCTCCTGAACCCTGTTTCTTTTTTATCCTTTCCTCAATCTGCCCCATTTTAGTTTTCTCATTCTTTTTTTGTACCTGTAACTCCTTGTGCCTTAGTGGCATTATCACCTTGGTTGGGGTGAAATGATTAAAAACAAAAAATAAATAAGAGGATGGAGACTACCCACTGTAGATGATGCTCAGCACACTGGCAATAGTCTTCAAAACTAGCTTGTTAACCATCACTGTAGAATGATGATGACCATTAACATCAGTCTTATGACCAGATGCATCTATAGGATTACTATAAAGCTGATCACCTGACCAATTACAACCACATATCTGGGTTGAATGCCAGAGATATTCATGTGTAACAAATTTTGGAAAAGTAGCCCTGACGGAGCCCATCCCTCTCCTGGTCAAACCACAGCCAGTGTCTACTAACTTAAAGGCTCATCTTGGTCATGGATATGTGGCCGTTGATATCGGTCTAGGAACCCCTCCATCTAATGATGCTGTGTCACGACCACACTGGTTGCATGTATAGCTATCAATCAGTTTTCCCCCTTGTGTTAGATGGCCACTGACCCCTACATAAAAGTTCATCCACCCTCTTAGTTCTTAGTCCTGCTGTGTGTTTAGTCAACCTCCTCACCAGAAAATCCTGGTGGGGTAACAATTTAGTCACTGTTGACTTTACTATGTAGCAGGTACTATTGGGTTATATGGTACCAGTACAACTCATAGTGACCTGACATAACACTGTATAATAATCTTCTATATATTTAACCTGTAGACTTCCTATGGATTTCAGTGGTGCAGCCTCGCTATGCTAGGCGTTGCTACTGTCGTTTCACAGTTAGTAGGTTTACTTTATTATAATATATTATTATAGTTGATACATCCATACTCAAGCATTTCTAAATTCAGAGTTTTCCTTCTCCTAGATTAGTTGCTATCCAAAGCTACAGAGCTCAGTCTGTCCAGCTTAAATTCTGGGGGGATTCATACCTTTCTCAAGAGGATTTATGCAAAAACAAGATGGTGATCCCCAGTAGATATTATTAGATTAGTCTGGCACAAAGCTAAAATATTGGAGCACACACTGCTGAAGATCAAACTCACTTCACTGTCAAGTTTTCAAGACAAGCTTGTTAACCAACACTGGGCCATGGTCATCTTAGATGTTAATTATGCTTATCTTAGTTTGACACAAGGCTGATATTGGGGCTCTCATTGAAGATTACACTCACGACACTGATAATTATCTACAAGGCTAATCTTCTATGGTAGACATTCTCAGTTAATATTTGCTTAGCTTATAGTCTGGCACAAGACCATGATATTGGGGCTTTTAGTAAGAATTGAATTTTCCTTATCTGCAGTGGTCTCTAAGACCTTCATTTAACAGATTCCCAATAGAAACTCGTTTACCATTCTGATTAAAGCTTTGTATGCCCCCACAATATCTTGACTGAGGAGACATTGATAAAATCTCTTAATGGAAGTGTCTGTTCTCTGAATATCCCAGAGGAACTGTGAACCAGGAAATTAACCAAGACAAAGATAAGTTCCAGTTGTCAATTATCTATCAGCCATTATTTCTATGAACAATGGTATTAGTCTGGAACAATCTCTGATTATGTGGATATTTGCCTTCAGAATACTGTGTAAAAATCAACTTCTTTACCCAGGAATATTCAGGATTTATAAATGTGTCATTATTCATGTGATTTGTCTTTTATAACTTGCTTGACATTACTTAAAGAACAGATCTGTAGTAAAACTTTAAAAAGAAAACCTTTTCCAAAAATTTATCATGACTGGTTTCACAAAAGTTCAAGACATTGTCTGAAACTTTAATCTCTTCAGAAAATGCTAGAAATTGATTTCTTCAAGTGTCCTTAATTTTAATTATTTGAAAAATTGAAATCAAAAAAAAATTTACCAAATTCCCTTTACCAAAATTTCATCAGTTCTTGAGTTCTAAATAAAGGGGCATAAATTGCAATTTACTAAGACTTACAGCCATTTTACTTTGAAACACTGGTTCTTGGACAATGACCAAAATTAAGCAACATTGAGCTTCTTCACCTAGATGGGTGACTGCTTGGGAATACCAGGTTCTGTAAACTTGGATGTGTGGGTGGTATAATGGCTCAGAATAGGAAATCAGAGAGTCAAGTTCCAATTCCAGTCAGGTTTGTTATATTCATTTATGTACAAATACCCTTGTACTGATACTGATGCGGCATTCACCCTGGGCGGATTGAGCCAGCTTCTTCCTGTTATGAGAAGAAGATTCTTGGGATAAATTACAGAAGTAGGGTACCCAGGCCTACTCGGATAACGTTCTTGCCGCGGGGTTCCCACAGACGCAGAGACAGGAACGACCAGAAGCCGCCGTTACTGATGCAGACGCCCTTGGATTTTCACCAGAGCCCTTGTTAGTCGGCGTGTGTGTCAGACCTGTCCGCCTTGGGTGGCCCTACCAGGAACGAAGTTCCGGGCGGCATAGCTCTGACACTACCGTTTACACCCCCCCACCGACTGTGAGGTAAGGGTTGAACTTTGGACTTTGGGGGCTTACAGTACCAGGTGTTCCCAAGTGGTCCCCCATCTAAGTACTGACCTGGCTCTACGATGCTTAACTTTGGTGATCGAATGAGAACCGGTGTTTTCAGCGTGATTTGACCGTAAGGAAACACATGAATCTATCTATTCCTCTTTCTCACAGCTATGGGTTAATTAGTAGAACATGTATTCGTTGTGGCCTGTTAGGGGCCAGAAAGAAAGACACAGAAAGGAAAAGGCAGATTAAACAAATGTATTGAAATAATAAAACATATACAAAATAAGAGTGTTATTAGTCAACACATAGAAGTGTTTGTCCAAACTATCAGGTTACACTGTGTCCCAACTGTTTCCGCTTGGGAAGTCTCACAGGTTAGTATTTATGTAAGAGGAAGAGATCATTCTAATGTAGATAGGTCACCATAACAGTATTGGTAAAACCATGATTATGATTTTTATATCTCAGAAATTCCTTGATTCTAAAAGTATTTTGTGGCTTTAAATAACCTGTAAAAGGTTGATAAACTGTAAAAAAAACTAACCAGTCAAGCAAGCAATTTAATCTTGAGCATTTTTCACATTTCCATTGTCTTTATTGAATCAAATTTAACATTTTTGTTGAAAGTATTTTTATTTGTCTCCAAGTAGATGATTACACTGGCAACAGTCTTCAAGACTAGTTTGTTAACCATCAATGTCTCATGGTTTTGTTTTGTTCTTTTTTTTTTGTTTTCTTTTCTTTTCTCGGTTAAAATCGTATTTAGTGGATTTCAGTGATGAAGGAAAAAATTACATTTTTAATTTATATGTTGGGTTTATCCAGAATATATCTAATCATTTTAAATATCTCAAGAACTGTCTGTGCATTTTTAATATAACTCAGAAAGAATCTTAATACACTTGTTTTGGTTATTTAATACTAAAGTTCACCTAATACAAGGCCCAAGATCCACTCAAGGTAGATGGTTGCTGAATGAAGTGTGTGATATGAATATAAGAGGCAGTAGAAAGAGAAAATTATGAGGATATATAACAAGTGAACAGACACTTTCCTGTATGTTTACTCAGTCGGCTATGAGATAACACTGAGTGAGCTTGTGTATTGTGTGACTGTGACATTCAGCATAGCAATGCATCTACCTCATTCTCCCTATCTTTTTAGGCAAACATTTCATTCTTCAGGTCTGTCAGCAACACTATGCAGTCCCTGTAAGCAAAAGTTAAAGTTATGATTTGAAATTCTATAGGCAAAATTAAGGAATACAAAGTGGATTGCAATGCAAACGAAGACTTTGCAAATGTAACATTCACATCTCTATATGAGTAAAAACAGAAAAATATATGCACATGAAGATAAAAAAAAATAATAGTGGCTTAAGTCGGAGATTATTTCTTGATATGCAGTCACATAATTCTGCTGTAGTCATGTAATGCACCAAGCTGATAAGGAATGCTAAATTCAAAGACATTCTCTCTGGCTTCTTTACTGACTGAAATTCATTTTGCAACTTTCTTCAAGATGCCCCTTGGATTGATATTCTTAACCAACCTATTGAAAATTGTGCCACTGAGATTTATTGGGTTTGTGGGTCACTCACATCATGCCAGCAGGGATAGCTTCATGTTCATAGGAATAAAAGCATACACAGAAAAAGCATGTTAAATTATAAATTAAATTCATACAATTTTATTTATTTTTATGCTCTTGTGTGTGTATTTTAGTGACATGCGTTTTAAAGTTGCATGTTGTTGATTTCAGTCCAGGTAGGAATGACTGCAGAACAATTGCACATCCACTTTTATAGACAGAAGTACACAAATGCATGCTGGGATTTTTTTCTTAGCCAATAAAATAAACTGCTTTGCAGCTTGACATGACTTAGTCCAGATCTGCCTTGTCTAGAAGACCGAATACTGCATTCACTTGCCTGAACTTGCTTTTGTGTCATAGGCAATTTTTAGTTTGAACTTTTTTCATTCTGTTAATTTGCCTTGCATATATTGTTTGCTTGATATTATTTCATTTTTGCCCTGTTCCTTTCTTTTTATTGCAAACTTTAATTCTGTTTGGTGGACAGTTCTGTTATCTATCTTGCATTTGACTATGGCTATTCACTTCACACAAGTGATAAAAGGAAGAAGTCACTTCATATTATAACAAGCAATGTGCTGAGGAGCAGAGATGGACATCTTGACTTTCCAACAGTTTGTAGCAAAAGAGCTCAATCTCAGCATTTCAGGCAGGAAAAGTTTCTGGGAGAACTTTTATTCCTTTGGTTTTATTTAATTTTAAGTTTAAATAAAGCTTTGTTATTTTATTTTACTTACAATATTCCTTATTATTTTATATTTTTATTTTTATTTATTAATAATAAAAAAATACCCCTACAGGTTAAAGCTGGCATCAATTCTTTTGTACCTTCTCAGTAATATCAGGTGAATCCTCAATTTTCTCACACCTGCTTGTTCAGCTGCTATAGCACCCCCAGATACACTTTTCCCGATCATACCAGCTTGATCATTCTGATCACAAGTGTCTGCTAGTAATAATTGTAAATGTGTTCTCAAAGAGGTTATATCTTTGCTGACAGAAGAGGCATTGTATAGACTCTAACAAATTTGATTCTCATGACTATTGGTGATTCTGTAAACTAGTCTGTTAAATAAGAGTAAGTCTTCTATCATTCCTCTCTTTACTCAATTTAAGTTTTTAACACCTTCTGCTGATAAAATAAAATGTTTTGCTCATAAATTATCATGAGATTCTACTCTTGACTCATTTAGATTATCTTTTTCTGACTTTTCACTTAGAACCAGTGCTGGATTTACCTATAGAGCAGGGCCTCAAAATCTAGTGTCCTCCAGACAGTGTATAATATTTTTGACACTTTCATAGACCTTTCTTACATATGCTGTCGCAACACATTGTAGATTCTAAATAACCCTTCAGTAATTTAAACACTCATTATCATCATCGGCTTTACTCAAATTGTTTAATTTAACATGCTTCCATTTTCCTCTACTCATGAGAATGGGGGATTTGGAGAGACTTTACAAGTGGAAGAGCCTAGGGCCTCTCTTCATGTAAATTTGACCCTGCTTAGAACTGAGTTTCTATTCACTATGCATAGAACATCTATGACTTTTGGTATCATGTGATCCTGAACTGGTTCCTGTTCTCTATAAACTCTACAATAAATGCCTTGCTGCTTTTTTACCTCCTTGTTTGGAATCCTTTTCTGTAGTTACAGTCTGTCAGAACTTGATCAAACCATCTGATCCTTATGACTACCAGCCTGTTAGCCTTCTACCTCTTTTTGGCAAAATACTAGAGGCTCTAATTAACTCTGAATTGTGGGGTCTTCTCTCAGATAAACAATATGGCTTTCTCTTCTCTAGGTCAACTGCTGAGGTATGAATATTATTGCTAAAAGAATCTATCAAGCTTTAGATAAGAATAGTAGAACTCAGGCTGCTGCATTAGATATTCAAAGATAGTCTATCATTTATCTATGCATTCAATATTGCTACTCATTTGGTCTGGTGCTTCTGTTACATAGAGATTCTTGATAAAATACAAAGAAAAATCTGCAATGTTATTGGTCCTGATCTGGCATCAAGGCTTCACTTTCCAACTGCCATAATGTAGCTTCCCTGTGGCTTTTCTATAAATACTTTCATGGTAATTGTTCTGATGAACTTTCCTCTATGGAACTGAGGTTTTATGAATTTAAGTGCAGTACTAGATTAGCAGCTAGGTCTCATCATTTTACAGTTGAAATGGCTAGAGAAGAAATGGTTAGCATCAAACTTACAACCATAAGTTTGATGCTAACCATTTCTTCTCTCACTTGTGGAACTTTCTTCTGGCTTCTTGCTTTCAATTCAACTTTGAACATAATTTTTTGAAGATTGTCAATTATTATCTACTGTTTTCTTTTATTGTTTTCTTTTGTTGATTTTTTTTTTTTATTCATATTATGTCACTCAGTAACCCCTTGAATCTTAGTGGCTTTATTGCCTTGATTGGGGTGAAATGATTAAAACACACAAAAACACATTTTTTATGTCCTTGGCACACAAAATCTGGACTTTGTTTTCACTGTCTTTTCTTTCACTCTTCCAGTTTTTTTTTTTGTTTTATTTTTTTTGTTGTGTGTACTTCTTTGAACATGTTTATGACAAATCCAACAACTGGAGTGTAGCATAATATAAAAGTATTTGGTGGGTAATTAAAAATGCCCCATCAATATTTATACAGATTTCTGAAAAGTGAAAGCAGCACCAGATGAAATATGCAATGTCTCAAGAACAGCTCTTCAGAGGACTGAAGCACCATTACCCTAAATGGGCTTTTTTCTTTTTTTTCTTTTTTTTCTTTTTTTTAAATTCATATTGTTGTATACCTTCTGAACAGGTGCTGTTTGTCATAAGTTGTATCAAATTAAAGAATGAAAGCTTTCTAGACAAAGATAGCAATGTAAAACTTCAAAGATGATAATGAAACTGCTTCAAACTGATAAGTTCTAAAGTTTTTCATCACCTCATGATGACCAGTGAATAGATCAATCAAAACATTATGAATGGATGAAAACCTTTATCCAGTCAAATTCCTCAAAGCAGAAAAATCTGCATTTGTCAGTGAAGCCAGAGAAAAACTCTTAAGTGAATATTGTCTGTAATGGACTGAATGGGAAAGCTGTTTTGAAGATTAATAAGGTCTTGCCAATAGCTGGACAGCCTCATCCATTTTGTTTACAGAATTTCAATTACATTGTTACAGTTAGACGTCAACTTTAATTTAGTATCATTCCAATTGGATTTTCTTAACAATTTAATATCTGCCAATTCTCTTTCAGCTTGACTCATTTGCAAGCCTCAAATGAGTGATCAAAAATTACAAATGCTTCATGTACATCAGAGCCAGTCATCCTCATATATGAAAGGAAATAAAAATAATGATAGAACTTAAAAAAAAAAACAGCAGATATTTTAGAGAAGGGCAGTAAATAAGAGCTCTGTTTTGTGGCCTTTAGAAATGATATAGTAAAACTGATTTTGTGTATCCCCAATTAATGCAAATTTGAATATATTTCAAAAGAATTTTTATATACATTCTTTTTTTC